GAAAAACTCATATTTGTGTTAATTCCCTTCTTTCCTGAACAATGTAAGCAAAGTAGCTTTATTTTTATTTTTAAACTGGTTTATGCCTGGACATTGTTTTAGTTTGGTATTTAGTTCATTCCTTAACACTGAACTGATAAAAAAAAACAGAACAAGCAAACAAACAAACAAACAAACAAACAACACAGAACCTTCTTACCGTTGAAAGTAGTCTCAGTTCTTGTGAAAACAGCCTCTGTTAGTCCTGTTTCATCTGTTTGATGTGGTGTGAAACAGGAAACGAGCTGCTCCTTTCTCTCTGTACACTTCCTGTTAGCTTGGAGGCTAATGCCTCTAGACTTGCTTCCTGTTAGCTTGGAGGCTAATGCCTCTAGCAGCTGAACTTCAGTGCAGAACCTCAGAGAACGTTGGTTACGTATTGTAACCCCAGATTGAAAAATTCAATACGGAGAAAAATTCAATACGGAGCTTACACGAAATAGAACACGTTCAGTCTTTTAGCACAGATGCTAGGCTAACAGTGTGCCTCATGTGGAGCACCTGGGGGTGGGGGCGGAGCTTCCTGGAAAGGATGTTCGAAATWGTGAAGTGCAGATCGATACGGCAATATCGATACTACCGATACCAAAACTTTTATATTATAGAATCGATACTAAAATAAAAATATGGATACTTTGATACTTTAGTTATTTCAAACAATGTTTATCATTAACAGGAAAATAACTAAACTRTTCAAATCTTGTCTAAATCATGTGGTTGGAGGAACTACTTTTTCTTCTGCTTGAGTAAAGCTTCAGCACAGTGGCATGAGTTCAGTCAGTCAGTCTGTAGATGTACGGCAGGTCATTTTAACATATAATCTGTTTCATCTGACGGTCTGTAATTAGATTCTAAATGAGAGGTTAAACTTTTTCATGCCCTGGTCTCCAAACAGCGTCAGCTCCAGACAGGGACCGTCTTGCAAACCCACAAACAACGCTACGAAATATACAAAGTAACAACTTTTACAATACTTTTTCCTCACTTTTATTCACTGTTCAAAAATGTTTTTATTTCTTTAAAATAAGAATTTAAAATTGTGCAAAATAAATGTGGGTTTAGGGTTAGAAAGACCTTTAAATTAAATATATTACTATGTCATGTACTCTTTAAAAAACACTACTTTATAAGATTTAACAGACACATTATGTTTATTATCACAAAGTATCAGTATCAGAAAGAAAACAGGCGTATCGAACATCACTAGTTTGAAACCCAAGACATTTGCCTTTCAGAATAAAAGTCTGAGTTTCAGTTTTATTGAAACATGCTGAAATTGGCAGGGCTGGTGCTCAGAGAGATTTGTGACGGCCATCTTGCTCAGTGCTTCTGTTCATTCGTGGAAGAAGCTTCATTAGTTTTTCCTCTAAAACAAGCCTGTAGTTTCTTACAGAAATGTTTTTAACAAGATTAATTTATTTTAGTTCAAAGGTTTTTATACCGACGCTCAGGGATTAAATCTGAGGTTTTCATGGTTCAGTTTGTTTCTGGATYAAACATCAGAGCTGCTGCTGGAGCTGCCATCACTCAGGAAGGTTGTCGGGTTGAATCCTGGATCATGTTCTCTCTGTGCACAGGTGGGTTTTCTCCTGTTAAGTGCTTGAAACTCTTCCAGAACCTAAACTGAATATTTGACATTAACTTCCTGTTCAATCCCTTCCTTTCAGAATAAAAGCTCACTGCAGGAAAACAAGAAGACAAAAAGACAACATCTTCATGCAAAGTATTTTATTTTTCATTTGTTTGAAGTTAAACTTTGATCCCAGAGGCCGTTAGAAGAACAAAGTCAGTAACCACCGTCCGAACAAACGTTTTTCTTTGTTTTTAATATAAAATAAAGAAAAACTACAAATAAAGTGTTAAACAGAAAGAAGAGCGACTTTCATATCTTAGGAACAAACTTCCTGTTGGTTCAACAGAGAAAAGAGTAAAAGTAAAACAAATATCTGAAGAAATACACTGAAACTTTACACCCACAGCACGGTTGTTTCTCCCATCAGAGAAAACAAACTGATAAACACAAACAACTCTTCTTGTTTTCGTTCTAAAACTCCAAGTTAAACTTTAGAGTCCAGCTTCTCTGAGTCCACAAGCAACAGGTCTGAAAATAAACCGTCTGACGTGAACTTTACAAAATAAAAGACCCGTTATTTCAGAACCAGAACCTCAGTTGGGACAAAAACCTAAAATCTTTTCAGGAGGAGCTGCTCAAACCATCTGAAGAACCAGTTTAAAAACACTGAAAACATCTGATAATTGTTTGAGCAGAGCTCTGCAGCCGTTTAGTTTCTACAGTTTTACAGACGTCACTCATTCTTGTTGATGTCAACAAGTTTTTATTTCATTTCAGTCAAACTTCAGTAAAACTGYTCATTTTCTTCTTGTTTCTTTCTGTTCATCTACCTGTGAAGACGAGGAGTTGTTTTAGCAGCAGGATTAGTTCAGTTTGTCGTGAAGTTAACAGTTAAATCTCGTGAGCGTGAGATTATAAAGACCACACAGTTGTCTAACCGTGGTAAATCTGAACGTTTCAGTTCCTCTAATCTTTTCCCAAATCACTCGTTTTCATACAGAATTAATTTCTTCTGAAAATAAATGTTTGGATTTTTTGTATTAATCAAACTACAACAAAAATCTGTCAAAACACACAATTTTTAATGTTTTAATTTGAAGTTTTTTATATAAAGTATCATCTATGTTACAAATAACCTGTAAAAGGTTTCATTTCATCATCATTTGTAATAAATAAGTGACATCAGAGTCATGTTTGCCCCCTGATGAGGACAMTCAGAGCCTGTCAGTAAAATAATCAGAGCAGGTCCACAGGGAACGCTCTAAATTCTTCTGAAAATAAAAACTTTGAAGACGAGTCGACAGGAGAGAAACTCGAGTTAAAACTGAGATCATCTGCAAACAAAGATTAACTGGTTAATAATTAACCAGACATTAACTAACGACTGAGTTTAGATGAAAAACGAGAAATATTTGCTCTTTYTACAAAACCCTGATGAGTGTGAATTACATGAACCTCCAAACAAACATCTAGTGTTTTAAAAAGTATTTTAAAAAAACTAAAGAAAAATTGTGTATTTTGACAACTTTGTTTTTAAAGGAGAATCTCCTTCAGTTCTCGTTTAGTGTGTCCGATTTTTACTGAGAGTCGGTCAAAACGAGCTTCTCATCTGCGTGGCTTTTCACATGAACGGCCAGACGACTTCTCACACTGAAACTTTTCCCACAGGTGGCACAAGAAAAGGGTTTCTCACCTGTGTGCGTTCTCATGTGACGAGTCAGATGACTTCTTAGAATGAAGCGTTTTTTACACGTCAGACATGAGAAGGGTTTCTCCCCTGTATGAGACCTCATGTGGATGATCAGGTAACTTTTCACACTAAAGTTTTTCCCACAGGTAACACAAGGGTAGGGCTTCTCACCCGTGTGACTTCTCATGTGAACGGTCAAACTTCCGTGATGATTGAAAGMTTTGCCACATATTTTACAGGGGTATGGTTTCTCACCTGTGTGTGTTCTCATGTGTCGGTCCAGATTACATTTTCGGCTGAAGCTGTTGCCACAGATCACACACAGGAAGGTCTGATCGTCTGTGTGTGATCTCATGTGTGTATTCAAATACGTCTTCTCCCTGAAACTTTTCCCGCAGGTCAGACATGGGAAAGGCTTCTCATCAGAGTGAGTTCTCATGTGAGCAGTCAGGCGCCCGCTGTGACTGAAGCTTTTAAAACACACCTCACATGTGAACAGCTTCTCATCCGTGTGAGTCTTCATGTGAATATTCAAGCTGGTTTTTACTCGGAAACTTTTCCCACATGTCTCACATGGGAAAGGTTTCTCACCAGAGTGAATTCTGGAGTGGAGAGTCATCTGACTTTTCAGACTAAAACTTCTCCCACAGGTAAGACATGGGAAGGGTTTCTCCCCTGTGTGGGTTCTCATGTGAGTAATTAAATGGCTTCTTACAGTGAAACGTTTCCCACAGCTCAGACATGGGAAGGGTTTCTCACCTGAGTGAGTTCTCATGTGAGTCATCAAGTTACTTCTTGATCCAAACCCTTTTTCGCAAATCTGACAGGAGTAGGGTTTCTCTCCTGTGTGAATTCTCATGTGAGTAATCAAATGACTTTTGACAATAAAGCTTTTCCCACAGGTCTGACATGGGAAAGGTTTCTCACCTGTGTGAGTTCTCATGTGAGAAATTAGGCTACCTCTTGCACCAAAACTCTTCCCACAGGTGATACACAGGAAGGGTTTCTCACCAGTGTGAGTTCTCATGTGAGAAGTCAAACTAGCATTGTCACTCAAAGATTTCCCACACACTTCACAAGCGTACGGATTCTCTCCTGCGTGAAACCTCATGTGATTGGTTAAGTTGCAGTTTCGTGTGAAACTTTTCCCACACATTTCACAGGTGTAGGTGCTCTCACCTGTATGAGTCTTCATGTGAAAAGTTAAGTTACTGTTCCGAGTAAAGGTTTTCCCACAGAATTCACAGGAGTATAGTGTCTTATCTGTGGGAGTTTTTGTCTTCTGGTTCCTGGTGGACCGGGAGCGTTTAGCTCTGCTTCCTTCCTGATCTTCAGGGCGGTACTCAGAGTCCAGCAGGTCGTTGTTCTCTTCTGGTTCACTCTCATCACTTTCCTCAAAGTCCACGGTCACCATGACGGTGTCGGCCTCCTGCTTCGGCTCCAGCAGCTCTCTGTCCTGACTGCTGTCCAGCTCCTCCTCTTTAACCTGCACATCTCCTGACTCCTCCTCMTCMTCAYCTTCCTCCTCCTCTTTGATCTCTAGAACTTCTGCTTCCTCCTGTTCTTCTTCCATCTGCAGAGGTTTTTGTTTGTCCCGGTCCGGACTAGAGGTCCTCTCCGTGTCTGCAGGAACCTCTGGTGTCTCCACAGACATGATGTGGACGTCTGAGGGAYGAAGAGGAGCAGTTAAAGACAGGAAGCAGAGAAAAACTAAAGTAACAAAAGAATCAGACACAGCAGGTCTCAAACGCTCCGATTTCCCACAGTTTTACAAGCAGTGAACGCATCGTCTCCCTGCAGGCTTCAGCTTCAGCTTCTGATGTTTTCATCTGATAAGTGACTCAGAAAAAGGTTCTGCTGTAGAGTGAGTTCAGTTAAAGCGGCTGTGACATGACACTTTTTAAATACATATAAAGGCAGTATTGCAAAAATAATTTCCCGCAGCTAGGCCTGTCGCGATAGTCAATAAATCAATTAATTACACGATAAGTTATTTTGAGGTCGGTAAAAAAACGAGGACGATGAGTTTCATTTTCCTGCTTGTTTGTTTACTTCGTCTCTCTCCCTCTCTGTGCTCCGCTGCACAGGAGCTCAGCTGACTCCTCCCCTCCTGTTTTCTTAGTGTGGGAGGAGTCAACTCTCGCGTTAGCATGAGAGCTCGTAGCAATAACAAACTAAAGAAACGTTGATGGGATTCTGAAAAATGGAGATGGAATTGGTTTCAAAGCAGAACGTGGCTGCTGCAGTGTCGGAGCACTACAGCCTGAAATTTGCTGCGGGGGGACACACAGAGAGAGAGAGGAGGAGAAGGGGTGGGGGCTGAAACTCGTCAAGACTTTACCTGTAGCTCCAAAAATAACTGGAAACTTAAACGCACCATCTGTGTTTTAACTAAACACCCAAAAAACCTGAAACTGTAGCTGTCCCAACAACTCATGAGGAAAACTCTGAACTGTCTGATTTCCTCCTCCGCAGCACTCTGACTG